ACCTGTGTGCATCACAGTGGGATTACAGTTAAGCATGGAAATAATAAATTTTATAACATGACAGGAGGCTTCCTATTTTGCATTAACTCTCTTTACTAAACTCCATAGCAGTAAAGAAAAACGTAAAGAGTAACATTAAATCAGTGAGCAGCATAGTATATATAAGGGTCATTCTGCCTGAACACTTCCTCTTTCTTTACTGCTCCATTGCAGACAGGTCAGACTTTTGGCTCCCTCATTTATTAATCTAGTCTGTTAGTTTTGATTACCCATTTTGTACTGTCTTAATGTATTTACTGTGGTCTTTTCTACTATTTATATAATTTCTCGGCAGTGGGACTTGTCTCCTGGGCTCCCTCCTCTCGGCCGCGACCGAGAAGTGGCTCAAACCCCTGAGTTTAACAAGGTTATGACAACCTTCATGATGCGCAGTGTAAGAGAACCTCGCTGAGGGGTAGAGAAGGGACTATGGGGCGCTCAAGACAATCTGCTGGATTCCGTTGGCCCCCTGGCCCGCATCATGTACCTGGCGGACGACGCCTATACCAAAGCCGATTCATTTTCTGCCGAAAATATCAGGGAATGGGCATATGATGTTTGTGAGTGGGCACAACGATGCTTTTGTTTCATTGGAAACACGAATGTTACGCTCTCTTCGGAGAGACGAAAAGCAGTGTTATACCGTATTAACGGTAAATTGGCAGAGCTTGGCACAAAGGAGATTGGGCTCCAGGCACAAGGTAAACTGTTTGGTGAACTGTTCCTCAAAGAACTCAACAAACAAGTGAACGTGTTCACCTCACTAAATAAAGCGCAGTCCTCAATGCGCCGAGTTTTCAGAAGCAACCCTACCAGAGAGGTTTTTGGAAGGGCTGGCCGGCAATGGGGCCGTGCCACCAGCATATTCTGAACTTCAGGCCGCCGCACCCAGCCGACACCGTTCTACCCAACGAGAGATTACAGACAACCGCCCTTCTCCAGAGGCTCGGACAGAGGCCGTGGACCGCGCGGACGTTCCCGATTTGCTACAGGTAAACACCCTTATTGCTCCTCTGTTACCATGCACCCGCTCCGCGGGCCGTATTTCCCTTTCTTTCCAGAATTGGGTCGCCCTGTCTTCAGACACGTGGATTCTGCAAACAGTACAGGGCTACATCATAGACCTGGTGGGGACCCCCATTAAGGCACAACCTCCTCGCCCCATCCATATGTTATCTTCCGACCACGATCTCGTCAACACGGAACTGCACGAACTTCGAGACAAGGGGGCTATCCAGCCGGCCCACGACTGGGGAGGTTTCTTCAGCAATATCTTCCTGGTCCGAAAAAAGACGTGAGAATACTGTCCTGTCATCAATCTACGCGACCTCACCGCGTATGTGGTGTACCGCCACTTCAAGATGGAGGGCATCCACCTTCTACGAGACCTCCTACGAAGCAACGATTGGTTCACCAGACTCGATCTAAAAGATGCATACCTGTCGGTCCCAGTACACCCGGACTGTCAACCTCTCCTATGCTTCCTCTGGCACAACTGTCCTTGGCAATTCACCTGCCTCCCTTTCGGGCTCAGCTCGGCCCCATGGTGTTTCACCAAACTCCTGAAGCCAGTAGTAGCCCACCTGCGGTCCAGGGGCATCCGGTGCATCATTTACTTGGACAACCTCCTCCTCTTCTGCTCCGACGAGCTCAGACTGCGTCAACATACTCATCTCACAGTGACACTACTGGAATCCCTGGGCTTTGTGGTGAACCAACAGAAATCGGAATTGACTCTCTCCCAGATGATACAATTCCTGGGCTTCGAGATCGACTCTACATCATGCACTCTGAGACTACCAGCCTCAAAGATCTCGTCTATTCGCAAGGAGATTCGCAGAGTTCTCCGTCGCGATTCCATCCCACTACGCAACTTAGCCAGGATTGTAGGACTCCTCTCTGATTCCATTCAGGCCATATTTCTGGGCCCCCTCCACTACAGGGCCATGCAACGCCTCAAAGCAAGATTCCTGCGCCGCAGGCCCATGTACGATCAACCCGTCCCGGTGATGGCGGAGCTTCGCGAAGAACTGTCATGGTGGCTGGACAGCATGCAGGCCTGGAACGGCAGAGCCATATTCGGAGATTCCCCAGACTTCATACTGGAGTCCAATGCCAGCTTGTGGGGCTGAGGTGCTACCAATGGGACCACCTCCACGGGGGGAACATGGACATCACAGGAGCTCTCCATGCACATAAATTGCCTAGAACTCCTGACGGGGTCTTTCGCGATCCGCAGCCTGGCCCGGGAAAAATCCAACTGCTGCATCCTCCTGCGCATGGACAACGTCTCTGCAGTCCAATATATCAATCGCCTGGGGGGTGCACGCTCACGCCTGCTGTCGGACATCACGAAAGACATCTTCGACTATTGTCTACCCCGCAACATCGCACTTCAGGCCGAATACCTCCCAGGAGAGACCAACCTCACGGCCGACTGGTTCTCTCGCCACTGGAGGGACGTCAGCGACTGGAGGCTGGACACAAGAGTTTTCAGGGCCCTCACAACCCAGATCCTTTCACCTGGATCTATTCGCCTCTCGCAACAATCACCAGACCCTGGAGTTCTTCAGCTGGCTTCCGGACCCGGAGAGCAATGCGACGGACGCATTTCTCCAACGATGGCCGACAACTGGGGCCTACGCCTTTCCCCCATTCGCCATGATTGCAAGAACACTACACCAGATCCGGATGCAACAGGTGACACTGGTTCTCATAACGCCCTTGTGGCAGAGCCAACCATGGTTCCCGGATCTCCTGGCCTCCTCATGCAAGGACCCTCTACTCCTACCGTCCTTACCGGACCTGCTCACAGATCCCAAAGGGAATCTTCACCCACTACTCTTGGAAGACCGTCTGCCCCTTGTTGCTTGGACTCTTTCAGGGGTTCCTGGCAAGTCAGCGGACTATCGCAGGCTACTAGGGACCTCTTATGGGATTCCAGGGCCCCCGGAACTAGACGCTGCTACCTTTCAGCTTGGGCCTCCTGGTCTACTTGGTGCGTGGAACGGGACTCCGATCCATTTACAGCACCTATTTCCATGATTATCAATTTTTTTTCATCCTTGTTTTCGTCGGGTCGCTCCTACCGCTCAGTTAACGTCGTTCGCTCGGCGATTTCGGTGGCCCACACCCCCGTCGGGGACCTCCCGGTTTGCAAAGACCCTCTCGTCTGCCGCCTGCTCTGTGGTATGCGGCTTCGCCGCCCCCCGGCTCCCAGGTACACCCACCGTCAGGCTGGTTCTACGTTTTTTTCCGGGATTGGCTCCCTAATGACCTTTTGTCCCTACGACAATTATCAGCTAAATTCGCTTTCCTGCTTTGCCTTGTGTCTTTTCGTGGGTATCGGATGTTTGAGCCTTCGACGTCAACTCTTTTGATGTTGCCCCCGATGGGGTCACATTCCATATGTCCCGTCGCACTAAGTCAGAGTCGACTTTGGTCTTCTACCCCTTTTTTCCCGACAACCCACAGCTTTGTATGGTGTCCACCCTACGCAGATACGTCTCGGTTACCTCCTCACTCCGTAGCTCGGCGTCGGGTCAGCTCCTAGTATCCTATGTTTGCCCCCATGCTCCAGTCTCGGTCACCACGCTAGCTCGATGGATTCGCTGGATCCTCTCTCTCGCCGGTATAGACCTCTCTTTCGTTGCTAATTCCGTCCACAGAGCGGCGTCTTCCTCAGCCTTTCTAGCGGGGGAGTCTCTGTCGGATTGGTCTAGGGAATCTACCTTCCGTACCTTTTATTTCCGCACTCCCCCTTCTGCTGGGATATCTCTACTTCAGCATTAAAATTACAAAATAGAAAGCCTCCTGTCATCTTATAAAATTGAAGATTATGCTAGCTTTAGTGTACTAATAATCTTCATTTTAATAAGGACAGGAGGTGAATATTTTCCCTCCCTTTTGTTCCCTTCCCTGACTCCTCGCGGGAGTGGATCTCGAGGTGACGGATGTTTTCGTTATGATTCTATTAGTTGTTTCTCCTTATCATATTAGGGTATATTCTGGTTCTCACCTGACACTCGTCCTAGAGACACTGCCTTACGTTGTCAGGATTAATATTGTATCACTTAATGCTTGCATCTACTCTGTATTTAAAAATGTTTTACCTTAAAGCACTCTCATAAGGCTCACCTGCGTGACCAGTTACGGTTCAGTACCTTACCTATTTTATACTCCCCTTTCAGTGTAATCCTCTTCAGGACCTCCACTGGATGCTGGTTCGGGTTCCCTCACTACTCCGCTTGATCGGATAAGGACTTCGTTTACGTCTTGATTCCAATTTCGCTTGTCAGGAGTCTCCTCAAGTTCAGTGCTCACCAGAAGCCGTTGTTACCAGTTTCGTTTGGTTTCATGGTCGTTCGAGCTCAGTCAGGACTTGGAGTTCGCTTCAAGAAAGAGGAAGTGTTCAGGCAGCATGACCCTTATATATACTATGCTGCTCACTGGTTTAATGTTACTCTTTACGTTTTTCTTTACTGCTATGGAGTTTAGTAAAGAGAGTTAATGCAAAATACTCGTCTCCTGTCCTTATTAAAATTAAGATTATTAGTACACTAAAGCTAGCATAATCTTCAATTGTCCCAAATAATAGTCCTTGTTATGTTGTAGATAGTAACGGTTCCATAATCTGTAACAAATCCTTATGTTACTTTTGTATCACAAGTAGCTATGACTCGGCCTGTAATAACAATGCCGGGTAAACCAAGCACCTATGAATTTAATCTACTTAAAATGTTAAGAAAGTCCAAAGTCCAAAATTAGAGCAAATGGCAATTTAGTATAAATAAACTAAATGCCTAAACAAACAATAACCTTGTAAAAAATGTTCACTGGAAAACCAAGTTGATGAATAAAAACATGTAGAATTTATTATGCAATAAAAAGATTAAAAACTTCAAAATATAAAAATGATGGTGAAATACTGAGGTAGGAGTACAGTCTATTTACAGTTGAACCTGGGAGGAGACAGACAGGTCTCTGCAATCTTTCCTGTGGATTACAACATCCCGGACCCAGTATCCAGCTTCATCAATATCTCCCTCGCGAGTTCCAGCTCCACCTCTCGATGTGAGGTCGGAGGCAGAGGATAAAGGGACCCACACGCCGTCCTCACCGGCTGCAAGGAGGGAGAATAGAAGGATTCTCTTTCTCAATCCAAATCCATCCGGGTCTGGATCACAGGTTACATACTTTTTCACATTTGAGACTCAATAGACTGTACTCCTACCTACCTACCTATTTTGAAGTTTTTAATCTTTTTATTGCATAATAAATTCTACATGTTTTTATTCATCAACTTGGTTTTCCAGTGAAAATTTTTTACAAGGTTATGGTTTGTTTAGGCATTTAGTTTATTTATACTAAATTGCCATTTGCTCTAATTTTGGACTTTGTACTTTAACATTTTAAGTAGATTAAATTCATAGGTGCTTGGTTTACCCGGCATTGTTATTACAGGCCGAGTCATAGCTACTTGTGATACAAAAGTAACATAAGGATTTGTTACAGATTATGGAACAGTTACTAACTACAACATAACAAGGACTATTATTTGGGACAATTTATTATTTCAATGCTTAACTGTAATCCCACTGTGATACACACAGGTTTTTTTATATAATATCACTTTAAGCTAGTCTGAATTGTATTTTATAATTCTGTTTTTAAGACTGTATATTTGAGGTTATATCTACTTCATTTCCTCCATATCAGTATTAGATCTATCTCTCAGCTCCTTAATACCTATACCTTAGGGTGTTCTTAGTTCTTATATGTCAATGTGTGTCTATTTGTGTGTATCTGTGTGTATTTGTATATGTGTGTCAAAGTGTGTGTGTATATGCCAGTGCGCGTGTCTGTGTGTTAGTATGTGCATCTGTGTGTCAAAATGTGTGCATATCTTTGTGTCTATCTCTGTGTGTGTCAATGTGTATATGAATGTATGTGTATGTGACATTGTGGGGATATATTAAGACACATAGAAAAATTGGTGTGGAACGAAAATTATTTTCTGTCCACTGCTGATGTGAGCTCCCTTTACACCAATATTGCACATGATAGGGGCTGTATGGCCACCAGGTTTTTCTTAGAGCAATCAGGTAATTTTCCCCCTGACCATATAGATTTTATTATGCAAGGGATTCTTTTAATTTTAACCAGCAATTATTTCTGGTATGATGGACATTTTTATTTACAGGCCTGTGGGACGGCGATGGGAACGAGGTTTGCGCCCAGCTATGCCAATCTTTTTATGGCATATTGGGAGCTCCAGTTTATCCATCATGGGGCGGGCTGGGCGACGGGCCTCGTCACCTATCGCCGTTACATAGATGACCTGTTTTTTATCTGGGAAGGAACAGAAGAATCACTAACCGACTTCATTAATACATTGAACAATAATGATTGGGGCATAGCCCTCACTACGGATTTTAACAAAACGAGAGTGAATTTTTTAGATCTTGACATTTTTATTGAAGATAATAAAATCAAAACTAGCACTCATTTTAAAAAAGTAGATGTGAATAGTTTTATTCACACCACGAGCTGTCATTTTACACCTTGGCTTAAGGGAATCCCCAAATCTCAATTTATCCGGATAAAAAGGAACTGCACTGAGGAAACTAAATTTATTGAACAGTCACATAAATTAGAAGGTAAAATGTTGGAAAAAGGATATAAACAAGATAATCTAACCAAAGATCTCAATCAAGTGATGGCAATTAAGAGAGAAACCCTATTAATAGATAAAGGGATTAATGAGAATAAAGAAAGATTTAATGATAATGGCAACATACCTATATTCTGTAATTACAGTCATGGTAACCGTCATTTAAGAAAAATTATTAATAGACACTGGTCAATCTTAAAGGAAGACCCAGTCCTATTCACCATTCTACCAGACAAACCCAAGGTGATCTTTAGAGGGGCACCTAACATGAAAAAATTACTAGTAAGGAACCACATCAGAAAACCATGCAGCATAAAGCCAATTGATACTAGGAAAGGTTTCTTTGGTTGTGGAATATGTTTGGCGTGCAGGAACACTGGAAGCAAAAAAAGACATATAGGGAAATTCAAAAGTACTAAAGAAAATGAAGAGTTCAACATAAACAATCTCATCACTTGCCATTCAACCAATGTAGTGTACCTGTTGGAATGTCCATGTGGCCTCAAGTATGTGGGCCGCACAAAACGTAATCTGCATATTAGAATAGAAGAACATATAAGGAACATTAAGAAGGGATATGAAGGACACAGTGTATCCAATCATTTCAAGACTACACACAACAGCAATCCTCAGGGGCTCATATTTATGGGCATACACAAAACTTTAGGAAATTGGAGAGGCGGTGATTTTAACAAAATTTTAGCTCAAAATGAAATGAGATGGATTTTTAGCCTTGGGACTTTACAACCCAAAGGTTTAAATATAGATTTCGAACTCTGCCATTTCCTTTAATTATCCTTAACATATATTCAACAGTATCATATTATATCTGTACCATCTGCAATATTATATCTGTACTATCAAAATTTATGCCATTTGGTTTTATGTCCTCTTATAAAATGAAGTCTTGAAATCCAATGGGAGAAGTTTGTCTTGATTGCACTCTCTCATCTAGTAAGTTTTTAATCGACCCCCATTTTGGTAATCCCTTTTATTTTATATTTGAGGGAAATCTCTCTGTTATTGTACCTATCTATCTATTTCACTTTGTTAATATGCATTCCGTTTTTTTTTGTTTTTTTTATTAACAATGACATTTGGGAAGATGTTGGAGGGCGGAAGTGATGTCACTTCCGCCAACCACTGCCCTGAATGGGTGCTATACATGACAGCCCCATCCAATCACCAATAGAATTTGTTCTAATCAAGTTTTTTAATTGATTGACAGGCAATTCAGCCAATGAAAGCCTTTTTACCACAGGTGATCAGTATAAAAAAATTTGAGAAAGACAGCCCTATCCAACCACCAATAGAATAAGTTTTTTAATTGATTGACAGGCAATTCAGCCAATACAAGCTTTTTTACCACAGGTGATCAATATAGGAAATTTGAAAAATACAGCACCATCCAACCACCAATAATAATCAAGCTTTTTGATTGATTGACAGGCAATTTAGCCAATGTAAGCTTTTTTACTACAGGTGATCAATATAAGAAATTTGAAAGAGACTCTGACCTTATGATTGGATAATCACACATCCTGTGACCCCAAAGGGAGGATCCGAATCAACTTTAGAGCACTTATAAAGTGGAAGATTCCTGAGGCTACTTCACAGCTACTGAGGAAGCTCATACAAGAGTGAAACGCGTTTAGCTGGAGTTTGGACTTTTATACTTGGACTTTCCATCATTTAGCTTATGTGCTTTTGAGAAGTCTAAATATTGTTTTTATTATTATTTTTTTATCTCTACAATAAATTGTTATTTTTTTATATATTAGTCCATATAGTCCTTTCTAGCCTCCAGGAACACCATGTGGGGAATGCTATCCCAATAAATTAGCACATTGCCAACAAACCTCAGAGCCAGGAATTCAAGGCTCTGTCTAAGGTGAGCATATCTACTACTATCTCACTATATTGTATACACCATCTGTACAATACCACCTATGAGGCTCTCTCTCTCTGTTTGTTCCATATCTTCGGGAGAATATCGTTTGGGATAAAGGGGTGTGTTGCTGCCTCAAGAGCAAGAAGGAGTCACTTACGGAGCCAATAGCTTATAGGCTCCAACCCACGTGAGTGGTTTCAACCAATTGCTACCATTATTCATTTTTTATTTTTTATTTTTTATTTTTTATTTTATTTTTTGTAAACCATCTGCACTATATTCTCTCTTTTTGTTGTTTTACTTTGTATGTACATTTGGACACATTGTATCACTATGTTGGAGGGGTGAGTATACCCCCTCATTATTTATATATATATTCAATATAGCGCTCCACTTGCTGGTATATTGTTTATACCTTTTTTTCTTGTATTTTGCATTTTCTTGTATTTTGCACTTTATTGTGGATTAAGGTATTCCACTTTTTGTGTTGAGCTGCTTTTATTCAGGCACTTTAGTATATCACTCACTATCTCAGTAAGGGATAGTTTTTGTTTTCTTTGTATGTGACATTGTGTTTATATGTGTGTATCTGTGCATTAATGTGTATGTATATCTCTGTAAGTATGTATGTGGCAGTGTATGTATGTGGCAGTGTATGTGCATACATCCCAGCAAACACCAACACAATATGCAAACACATGCCTGCAATCAAACACAAACATCACATAACATACCCTTACATTCAAACAATAAATTCATATATGGACACACCCCTTGACTCAAAGACCAATACTACACACAATTGCACATCTGCATTTAAAAGCCAACACTACATATAAACACACCCCTGAATTTAAACACAAACACTACATAAAGTACATCACCTCATTCCAATGGCAGCAGTACATACAAATACACCCCTACAAGCACACACATACTCTGTACAAAAACATGCTTGCAAATAGTAGATCCCCAGCTGGCATAGCATTGTGGGAGTTGTACGACAGATATAGTATGAGTATCTCTGTAGTCTACCCAACTCTGCGTTTTTAATGTGTTTTCTGTATTATGCTAAACTCTGTGTACTGCATTGGTATCCCCTTATTGTATTCTTAGTGTTCTTTGTATTGTATGTATCTCTGTATTGTTCCTGGCTCATTGTGTTGTATGAGTATCTCTGTATGTTCACAGTTTGGTGTATTGTGTAGATCACTGTATTTTACCAAGCTATGAATATTTTATGGATATTATTTAGATCATACATAGTTCCTAATTAATGTCAATAATTTCTATTTAGATATGTTTTTCCCTGCCTGGTTAGCATCTTATTCTTTACCCATTCTTTAATATTTATGAGGTCTGTTTTTCATATTTATCTAGACAGAATCTTAAAGAAGTTCACACTAAGGAACATATTTCAGTTGACTGCTAGGGGCAATGCAGTCATCAATGAAATGTTGTAACAAGCAATGCAGCAATTAAATACATCTGATGTTGGTATCTCATAAATAATGATAATTGCTGTAGCTATTTCACAGTGACATCATTATTTCATTAA